AATTTTAAAAAAAAAAAAAAAAAGAGGCAGGGTATAAGAAACAAAGTCATTGAGTATACTGTGATATTTGATTGCAAAAACAGCTCCGATTCCTGAATTTGTCACCTCTCCCTTTTGCAATGATACTTCCTAACTCCCACTGTCTACTTCTTTCCCTCCTTTTACCTGAGTTAGTCTTGCGATTTGCTTTCACCGACGGAAGGAAAGTGGCAGTGTGTCAGTTCAGCGCCTAAGTCTCAAGAGATGTATGTGCTTCCAGCTTTTCCCTGGAAACCTGACCTGCTACAAGGACAAGTCCAGGCTGCCTAGCTGGAAGACGAGAGCCATGTGTCTCCGCTGAGACCATCCTGGAGCTACCAGCTTTCCACTAACCAAGGCACTGGTTGCAGATATGAAAGCAAGTCTAGCCCAGATCAGCAGAGCCCAGCCCTGATCAGCCAAACTATCCGCGAACCTGTAGATTCATGAGAAATAATAAATGTTGGCTTTGAAGATATGACGTTTTGAGGTGGTTTGTTACTGAGCATTATTCTGCCAACAGATAACTGATATATCATTTTCAGGCACTGCAGGCATTAAAATGATTACAATATTACATTTCCTTTCTTGAAATAGAAAATATACCCGAGAAAACAATCCCCTCCCAGCCTTTTTCTAGTTTCTTTTCCTCTCTTCCTAATTTTAAGTAGCTACATTTTGCAAAGGAGCTTATTGCCCAGCAAGTTTCATTACTATCTGCAAATCTTAACAGTTATTGAATTAGTTCCATTGCCTATGATTTCGTAGCAAATATTTTAGTGTTGTTTCTCTTGTATTTCAAATAGACATCAACCAAATTTTACCTTGTATAGTCAGTAGGTGAAGATTTTTATTACCCAGCCAATATTCACCATTTTTTTGAACAAAATTTCCAAAGCCATTTTCGTAGTCATTCCAGCCTCTAAAAATGTAAAATAAAAGCTAATTTTTATCAAAATCCAAATGGACATCTTCAGTACTCAAAGTACCCTCCACAACCCCCGCAATATTTTCTTGATTAGTTAATTCATTCTCAGTATTCTTACTAAGAGAGAATGCAATTTAAATCAATATACTTCAGATATTTTTTAAAGGCTTAACATAAATTTCACAAATCTCACATTTGCTGCCCCAGATAAATCCTTGTTGTAATTAGCACACCTGTTAAAGTTTTCACTGCCATCCGTTCGTCTCTGAATTACAGTCCAGCCTCCTCCATCAGACATGTCACAATACACAGAGAATTCTGCTGGGCTCTCCAGAGGCTTGATTTTGTAAAATCCACTGCGCTGATAGCCATCATTGAAAATCTCTGAACAATCTGTTCACAAAACAAGATACTATAACATACGTCATGAGCCTTTTTTTTTTAAAGGAGCCTCTAAATAACATTATTCAATACCAATGAAACACATAGTATAGATAATCCACTTTCTAAAATTTTATCTTGTACATCTCCCAAAGAACAGCAAGAAAGTCATCTTTTTGTCCCTAGAGTTTAAAGATCATCTGATTCCTTGATATTATTACAGGGGAAAAATGAAACAAAATAGGGATCATTTTCTTTTCTTTTTTTTTTCTTTTTTTTTTTATTGAGTTTATTGGTACATTTAGGGATACAGTACAGTTACATTCATTGTTGGGATCTTGTACCTCTACATGACAAGTCTTGATTCTCATTTTTTCCCCTTACCTCTGCCCTCCCTTCACCCCCTCCTCCCCTCCCCATCTACAAACACTTTATTTTCATCTTTTCATTCTCTCACATTTTTTTCTTTTCCCTTTTTGTTCTTCCCCTACGTATCACACCTTCCCTACATCTTTAGCTCCTTTCCTCCCATTTCTAAATGTCAGTAATCTTATTAGAATCTTATGCATTGTTGCAGAATATTCACACCAGGGAAACTATTCGGTATTTACACATGTGGGACTTATTTATTTCACTTAGGAGTATATCTTCAATATGTAAGGGATCATTTTCTTATTCATGATTTTGTGAAAAACAATTTTAAAATAAATTATATGTATTTGACTAATCACAATGTAAGGGGAATTTATCACTATTAGTCAGCACATAATATCTCTATTATAAAGCTAAAAGTGAAAGTAGAAATGCAACACCAAACCAGTAATTTAATATTGGTTATTTTGATTTAAAGACTTATAAATCATCTGAACATCCGGAGATAAACCCATGTCCTAATCTTGTTAGTTCTTGTAACCTCTCAGTCTCACTGGAGAAATCAAATTTCCCACTCATTGAAATTTCTTTTCTTTTGAGACAAGGTTTTGTGTGTAGCTCAGGCTGCCCTTAAATTCGCTGCCCTTGAATTTAGATCAGTCTCCTGCCTCAGGCTCCTGAGTACTGGGATTATAGGCCCATGCCTTCATGCCTAGCCTCACTAAAATTACTTTCTTTCTTTTTCTATATTTGTAATTTCTCTTTTCCTACTGAAATTTCTGTCCACATATTCTTAGATGTTTTAGCTAAAATCTGCAAGCTCCTGCTACCTTTTTCATCCTTGCATTCTTTGCTGTGCCATTCCTTTCACCAGTGATATAAAATAGCTAGTGATTTTTCATCAAAATATAATATTTATTTCTTAAGCCACTTGAAGATGGGAACAATTAGTATCTATTGGATCTCACCTAGGCTGATCTGTACAGGTTTAGAAAATACAGTTAAGAATTATTTAGATGCTCAGGAAACTATACTGTAGAGTGACTGAAGTTGTGGTCACTACAAAAAGGTAGTCTCAAAAATAATTAGTCACAGACTTCTGAATAAAAATACTTCAACAACAACTCTATCTTTCACATATTACTCTAGTCACTTTAGTAATTTTCTCTTTTTAAAATGTTTTCTAAAAATAAATAAATAAAAATGTTTTCTTCCTGATTGGATCATTCCAGTCTTTTAATATGTTTTTAAATTCTTTCTTCATGTTCATTGTTTTGATGTGGAATTGTCTGCAACTGTTTTGCCACAGCTAAAATAAACTGCATATTAAATAAGGGCAATAAGAATTTAAGAGAACAGGGCTGGGGATTTAGCTCAGCGGTTCGGTGGCCTGCCTTGCAAGCGAATCCCCCATACCAAAAACAAAAACAAAAACAAAAACGAAAAAAAAGAGAGAGAAAAAAATAAATAAAAAACTTTAGTTAAATTCTCAAGGCTGAGAGTTATAATACACTACTGCTATAGTGAGAAGTTCTTCTTTGTGATAATTTAGGCTTAATCTGTATATGTACTGCACTTTCAAGATTCAGGTGCACAAATATTTCATACATGTGCTGGATTATAAAAGGGATCCTGTTTTGAGGCAATGGTTACATAAAGGTAGCTCATGTTATTAAAAAGCTTACATCTCATGGTCAGGTATATTGTATAACACTTGCATTAAAATAAGCACATTTCAAACCAGTTAGGAAAGGAGTTCCTCACTTATATTTTATCTTCTACCAAAGACCTGAACACCAAAAACTCACAAGGTTCAAACTATTCTCCAGGAAAACATGGAAATAATCAGCTATATCACTTGCCTCTGGAAAACTTTATGAATATGGAAAATGCTGTTAACATTTTCTACCTGTTTTATTTTATGCTGTCTGTTTTTAAATTTTTCTTCTCCCAAGAAGAAACTGTCAAACATAACTTAAGATCCAGAGGAAGGCCTTCAAATGGAAACAAACAAACAAAAAACTTTGGGAGAAAAAACTTAAAAAATAACTACACACCAAAAAAAGAAAAAAGAAAAAGAAAGGCACCACTAGTTCAACAGTTCAGTTATAACTGAGCAAACAAGTTAAGGAGTCTATTTGTGGAAACATGACTTAAACTGAGGTAGCAGAAAGTTTGACCAATGTAGAGTTTAAAATTGATTTTTCAAAATATTTGACCCCCCCAATCCCCTGAAAATAGGAGAAAGGCAAGATTAGAGAGCTCTGTATTTATGGGAGCTTTAAAAATGTAAGGCTGCTTGGATACTTTCAAACATGAGAGAGAAGCCAGGGCTTCCTGCTCTCTTCTTTGGGCAAACACTACATTAAACTGGGAATGTGAATGGTTTCTCTGTGCAGAAAGCAAGCCACGTTGGAGGCTGAATTAGTGTAAGCATCAGAGTGACACGCCAGTCTGCCAAGAGGGACCTTTCTGTTATCCTAGAATGATAGCTGAGTCTCAAAGCTGCAAACCAAGGCAGACACTAAGTATATTGTTTTTGTGGTTGTTTTTATTTTTTCTTAGTGCATGTTTGCAGTACGTAATGATTCCATTCCTTATGGGGAGTTGATACATGTACTCATCTCATCTCTTTTCATCCCCTTCCCCCTCCCTCTTCCCTCCCTCCACCTCTTGAACCCCTTTTCACTTGAAAAAGATCTATCTCCCCACTTCCTATATTCTATCTTTTATTTTGCTCTTTATTTGTATTATAAGAGAAACTATGCACTTTTTAAGCTTGTGTAACTTATTTATTTCACTTAATATTATGGTATCAAAGTGCATCCATTTTCCTATATTGACTCAAGTTTATCCTTCTTTATGACAGAGTAGTTTATATTCCCACCAACAATATAGAAGGGTTCTTTCTGCCCTGAAGCCTCTCCAGTACTTGTTATTTGATTTCTTAATGATAGCCATTCCCTCCGAAGTAAGATGGAATCTTGGTGTTGTGTAAATTTGCATTTCTCTAATAGCCAGGGATGTTGAACTTTTTTTGTGTATTTATTGGCCATTTACACTTCTGAGAAGTGTCTATTCACTTCAGTTGTCCATTTTAAAAATTGGGTCTTTTATTTTGAGTGGTCTAATTTTTTTAGTTTGTTATATATTCTAGATGTTGATCCTCTGTCTGAAAAATAGCTGGCAAAAATTTGCCCTTCTATAGGTAGTTCCCTGTATTCTTTACTCGAAAAGTAAGCCAGGAGCAAGTCAGCTGTCAACTCACAGAGCAAGCTGGGCCTGCCAGAACCAGCCCTACCACCGCCATCCTTACTCACTCGCAGGTGACATAAGAAGGAAACTAAGAGGGGGAAAGAAGAGGTCTCTGGGAGTGTGTGTATTCTTTTAGGGAGGAATGGGTGGGGTCTTTCCTCTAAAAGCAAGAGAGAAAAAATAATGTCATAGATCGCTGACATTCACTGAGTACTTTGTTGGGGCTAAAGATATAGCTTATAATCCCAGGTATGTAGGAGCCTGAGGCAGAAGGATTGCAAGTTTGAGGCCAGCCTGGGCAATTTAGTGAGAAATTTTCTCAAAATAAATTTTAACAAAGTCCTGGGGGTATAGCTCAGTGGTAGAACACTTGCCTAGCACGTGTGAGGCTCAGTGTTCAATCTCCAGCACAAAAATATAGCTAATTTAGTCTTCACAACAAACAGATTTTCTTATTATCATTTTACAAGTGAGGAATATGAGGCACACAGAAGTTAAGAAATTCACTCAAAGACCATGGCTAGCAAGATGGGGCAGGACTTTGAAACTGCCTTTCTGCACCTACACTTTACTGCACATACTGCCTCAAGTGGCTGACACAAAGACGGGGGGCTCATAAAGAAGGACCACAGAGCAGCTAGTGTCTTGGGCTGGACAGAACTGATGCCAGATTGTTGTGACTGTCACAAATGCATGTGAACTTGGTACCATAGACTTTTAATTCTCAGTGTAACAGCACCTATCCAAGGGCTTTAAAAAAGATACAGTTTAATTATATGCTATAAAACTATGTGATTTAGGCATTGTTTGCACAAATTGCTAGGTTGTATATAATTAGGTGTTTTCTACCAAGCAGTGAATTAGAATTCAGAAAATAACTAATTTAGTAATAATATAGTAATTTGCAAATAAGAACAAAGAAATTTGTATTTTTACAGATCATATATATGAACAGCTCTTCTATTAAAAAGTTCAAGAGCACCAATCATAAACTTTGATGTGAGCAGGATCTTAATATTTTACAGTATTATATAGTATACATATTGTGTCATATCCCATTTAATCAAAATTTTTGTGTTACTTGTTTTATTCATTAAGTGTTTGTTCTTGGTAGACTCACTGGTACTATTTGCCAGTACACTAAAAAATAAAGTATAATTTAACTATGTTATGTTTCAGATTTTATTCCTTCTCCTTCATGCTTGGATCATATATGAAGATATTAAGTGCAAATCTACCAGCTTCTGAATTTTGATTTAGCTTTTATAGATAGAAATGGTCATCTAGAATGGCTATCATCTAGCTTATCATTATAATAGACACACATACACAATAATGATTTGTCTGGACTCTCTCCTTATACTCTTACCTAAGTCTTGCTGTGA